TTTCCTTTTTTTCTTTAGGCTAAATTAGTGGGTTAGTTTCCTAGAATAGCTCCTAGATTGATTCTTAGAAGTTGTATATATTTGTACAGATCTTCTCAATGAAATTAGAACAGAAATCTTCAACTATTTGTTTCTGTTTTCAAATTCCAGATCTGACACTGCCCTTGCTGTATCTGGGTAACATAGCTTTGCACTACTGAAACAGCTAAACCTTTGGTATATGAGAATCAGGAAATTTACTTATTATTCCAATTTCTCGATTGATACAGAAGTCATACTTCCTACATCACATGCTAAGATGCAGCTAAAGAGCTACAACAACCAAGAAAGGACATAAGTACAAACCTGAGAGCTAAGTTTAATTATATCAAGAACAGACAACAAAATTTTCAAGACCTCCGTGACAGTCCAAGGAACACTGCAGCAGATGCAATTTGCACCTTTAGATCAGCAATATCCACATCATGCCCACCTTCAACAAGCCCCCACCGATCAACCTACGTCAAATATGAAAGGAAGCTTACAACCAGATATCCTGATGTGTGTGTCTGTGGTCAAATATGCATGCATATGCATATATATAAAACTGATACTAAATGCACCGTACATCCTATCTGCTAGAAATATTAATATATGAATAAAATATATATATATGTGAATTTCTGCGTGTATATATTGTCATTATCATCAACATCGTAAGCCTTGTTCAAATGATATAGGATTGCCTACATGAATCCTGTTTGCCATTCCATTGTGTTCAGTACCATATCTATTGTTAAATTATGAGCCTTAAAATCATTTCACTATTTCAACTCATGCCCTTTTTGGTCTGTCCCTAGCTCTTCAGCCTGTTCAACTTGTAAGAATCAGTTCTATTTACTAGTGCTGTACATAATCTTCTTTGCACGTCATCAAACCATCTTAGTCTACATTGCCTCAGGTTCTCAACTATTAGAGTTACTCCCAAGTTCTTCAAATAAGTTCATTTCTGATCTTATCTTTTCTGGTTGTAGTGACAATGGGCCGAATGGGACTTAGTAGTTTTATTTCTTTTATGCTATGTTTTAAGTTTATGTTCTTTTAGTTATGGTCCTCTTTTTGTTTATTTTATTAGTTCTTTAGTGCTGGCTGTGGCCACCCTATTAAGGGAATCTAAGGAATTGTACTCCGTTTTTACATTAAGAAATAAAATATATCTTGAGAGGACTAGAGAGGGGATCGAACATCTTCTCTTCTCTCTTCCTCTTCTTCTTCCACAAGCTTTTGCTGAAACCTTTCATTCTTCTTTCTCTATTTTTCTGATTTACTGCAGGTGTCTTTCACAACTCTGGTTTTCCCATCCATAACGTTCATGTTTCTGCCACGTTCATTTTTTTGGACATGTTCTTCTGCCTAACATCTCATGTCACATGAGACTCAGGACGCAACCCTCCATTTTGCCCACCCTGCACTAATTCTATGGGTGATATCCTACTCAATTTCTCCCTTGTGGGTTATCAAACCAAAGTAATAAAAGGGGTCACATATTGATGCAATAGGGCTGAAACAAACTATCACAAGACAGAAAGAGAGAGAGAGAGAGAGAGAGAGAGAGGTTAGAGGAAGAGAAAGAGAGAAATCCCAAGGAATCACTCTAGGGTTTGTAGGAATTACTCCATACAGCAAACTTGCAAGAGAGCTCTAAAGAAATCTTCATTAGCTTCAAAAGGAAGAGAATACATCTATCTATAGAGTGACTTGTGAGGGCCAGAATATTGTTCACCATAATTACAAAAAGTCATTCCTTGTCTTGTGCATCAAGAAACATAATAACTTTCTCCCTACTAAGTACTAATGCAAATAAACTGAAAATTGAAAGAGAAGCACTACTAAGCTAGAGGAACAAGATGCTATAGCCCAAGCCCACATGGGACTGGTCAAATTGACGAAAATACCCCCGACCAGATCAGTCCAAGTCCCAAGAGTCTTCCCCGTGCCAAATCAGAACTTGTTTGTTGGCCTTCTTACGAGAATAGGTCTAATAGTGCCTGGACCGATCCCCATCACATATCTCTTGGTCTCCAAACCCAAGTGTACTCTGATTTCCATTCCTACTACTATTAGAATTACATCGCATATATTCTATTGCATCCTACTTGTTTTAGAACCTCTTTTCCTGAGGTATTTCTCTACAAATCAAACTTTGCATTTAATCCTTTTTTTAGTCTCGTCAATTAATACAATGTTATCAGCTAATAACACACACCATGGGAACATGTTTACTATGTAGAGAACAGTGTTTTAAAAAAGCAAGGGGTAATTTGTGCCTGAGGCACAAGGTGCAAGACAAGGCACGTGCCTTTCCGAAGCATGGCACAAAAATACAAAAAAAAAATGACAAAAAATTCAAAAAAAATGTAAAAAAATAAAAATAGCAAACATAATATTAATAAAAATGTAAACTTAAATTTTAAAATAAATATTTTAAAAAACCTATTATCTAAAATTAAAATACATAAACATAACATGTAAAGCATATTCAAATGAAAGTTTAAAAATAAAATCAAACATATAAAACATTTTCAAGCATGTAAAACCCACAATTTCTTTTTATCCTCAATTGCATTACTTCAAATAGCTAATGTGATGCAAAACATCTTGCATTCTTGATTCTATGGGCCGCCTTTGTACTAGGAGCCTCGAAGGCAAGCCCAAAAAAGTCCATGTTAGGCTCAAAAAAAACAAAAAGCGCAAAAAATAAAGAAGGCGCACGCCTAGGCTGAAGCAAAAGGTGCACCAGGCACGTGCCTTTTGAAAGTGCTGCACCTAGGGCCTAGGCGAGGTGCATTTTAAGGTATGTGCCTCACCTGAGCACCTGGGCGTGCCTTTCAAATCACTAGTAGGGAAGAGCTTTTTCTAGTCAAGTTGTTTAGTAGGCTTCCCTAAATGACCTAGGAATCTTCCATGCGGCACTCTTTTGTTTGGATCAGAGATTAAAAGGAATCTTCTTATTCCTTTACCCACCTTTTTTCACTCATGGAAAAGTTTTGACCCAGAAAGATGAAGCAGTTACCACCTATTCAAAATAGAACATCTTTTAGGGATAACTTTAAGGCTAAGTTTGGGAGTGCTTAAAAGTAATTGCTTATTCGAATAAGAACTTATTTTGGACTTGAACTGGGACCACACCAATAAGCACTTATTGGTGTTTGGGAAATAAGCCCAAAATAAGTGCTTATTCTAAGAATAACCGTTTATTCAAGAAGCCCAAAATTCCTACTTATATAGAAGTGTTTATACAATAAACACTTATTCAAAATTTTCCTTCCAAAACACTCCCTAATTATATTTCAAAATGCCAATATTGCCCTTTGCTTGAAGAACAAAGGATTTTCTCTATTTGGTGAGGCTTTCTTCTCTACTCTTCTTCTCACAAACTCCATAGCAGCAGCAGCACTACTCCAAGATCAAAGCTGAATCTCGTGCATCCACCATCCAGGTTGGTGAACATTCTTCTCTACTCTTTTTTTTTCATTTTCTCATCTTCAACCAAACAACCACTACATTTGCCCAGCTCTTTTACTCGTTCTTTTCTGTGAATACCAGTTTCTTCTTCCTAAACATTGGAGATTTTCCAAGCTCAAACCAAAAGCTCAAGCATCCAGGTTGGTAAACATTCTTCTTGATGCAGCACTCTTAAAATGAGGGTTAAATGTCTTTTTAAATGAACAAGTGTTTATCGGAGAAAAAGACCACCAAACACCCAATATGAAATAAGTGCTTACTTTTTAAAATGAGCACTTGAAAATTTTGGGTGCCAAACACAAATAAGTGCTTATTCGAATAAGCACTTATTTTTCAAATATTCACTCCTAAACTTGGCCTAAGTATGGGCCGCTATTATGGATTAGGCAAAACTCGTATACATGGTGAGTATATGGAAGATATGAACTATGAATTGAATATATAGCCAATTGAGTGGATCCAGTGTTTTAAAAGCACAAGGTGCAAAAAAAAAAAGCGCAAGGCGAGGTACGCACGCCTTTTTGAAGCAAGGTGCAAAAATACAAAAAAAAAATGTCAAAAAATTCAAAAAAATGCTAAAAAATTTAAAAAAAAAATCAAAAAACATTAAACATAATGCTAATAAAAAATATAAACTTAAATTTTAAAATAAATGTTTTAAAAAAAACCTATTACCTAAAATTAAAAATACATAAACATAACATGTAAAGTGTATTCAAATGAAAATTTAAAAATAAAAGTGAACATATAAAACATTTTCAAGCATGTAAAACCCACAATCTCTTTTTTTCCTCAATTGCATTGCTTCAAGCCTGAACAAGGCGCACGCCTGGGCTGAGGCACATTAGGCGCACGCCTGAAAGGGGTGCGCCTAGGACCTGGGCGAGGCGCATACCTTAAAATGCGCCTCACCTATGCGCCTAGGCGTGCCTTTTAAATCACTAGTGGGTCCTTCATCTAACGGTTGATCTAGATCATCTGCAAAATCCCTCAATGTGGTAAAAATAAGCATGGTCATTTAATAAATCTCCCCTACTTTACCTGGTTAAGAAACCTTTTATTATATGTATATAGAGAATGAGAGAGAAACAAAAACCTGCAAATCTTCTTCAAGTCTAATCAACTCAATGGCCTCCTCAATCTGCAACTTTCCACGAAAAATCCCAATAGAAATTATTAAAGAGTGTGATGCTGCAATCATTGCATCTATTGCAGCCAATTCACAGTCATCTGTGTTCTTCAGAACACTTTCTATTGCTTTCACGAGACCATCTACTTGCTTGCCACCAAAAAAGCTAGAATACACAACAGGCTTGAAACCAAATTCAGATTCCACCCAATTGAGTAAAGGATCAATTTTTTCCACCTGCCGTTCTGCAAATTAGAATGTAATCCAAGAAAAGGATAGCTGTAAGATCACTTAAGAACTCAGTAGAAACCTAAATCTAAAATTTGCAATTGGCAGAGATACTGTACACATCATTCAAGCTAAATGCCTGTGTCACGTCAAAATGTAATCTAGAGCTACAACAAGAATTCCATTACTAAGAATGTTTATTGGACAAAACATTAAAACATGACAACAAAACTAATATTGCTATCTCAGGATACTACAAAGCAATTCAGAATCAACTTGGAAAATCTGAGAAAGAAGCAGGACCAACATCCATGAAGACCAGTTTATGCTTAATCCATATATTCTTTCATGTGTTTAATTTCCATGATAGCTGTAAAGCAAAGATACACTCAATTTGGAACTTTCTGATAGTAAAGTAAAAAAACTTGAAATTGGCAGCAATGGGCACACCCATCTTTTTTCTTAAATGATGACAATAGAAGCTTCTATTAAAAATCAAAAACGACACAAACAAACAAACAAACAGCTTATCCTCCAAGAGAAGAGAAGACAAGACACAAAAGCAGCTTATGCAACAAAGTTGCCCATCCATAGAGTAAATTACAGGCAGCCACCCTGTATTTAGGGGGCAATGACACTTGGCCCCCCAAATTCTGTTCTGTGACAAAGACCCCCCATACTGGATTCCAGCACCTTGTCCAATACTCCATTAATTGGGTTGATTTGTGATGATAAAATGACAAAAATGGGCATGCTAAAGAATAGTATCTCTTTTGAACTAGGATACTGTGCTTCCAAACCCTTGTCAAAGAAGAAACAGAGTTCTTAAGATGAATGAGACACTCTGCTCTAGCATACCCATTTTTGTCATATTGACAGCTTTTGCTCTCAGCCTATTGAATCTCAAATAAGCAATTTAGTAATTTTTACCTTCACCATCAACTCCATTAACAGAGTAGGGGGCAAAGCGTTGGAATCCAGATGTTTAGGGTGATCTTTGTGACAAAAGTCAAAACAAAGTTCTGGGGGGCTAAGTGTCACCTCCCCCAAGGAAGAAAAAGCCCAAAACAAGATACACTCACTCTATCTATCTATCTATAAATAAAACATTGATGGAGTGTTTATAGGACTACTCCATGTATATGCAACCAAGGGCGCCCTAGAAGGACATTATAAGAAGTATCTACATCAATGACATTGAATAGGGTGTTCAAATAGCTCTCCAATTTTGACTTTTTAAAGAATGGTTCTCAACTCATTCTACCCTTTTTATTAAACCTTAGAATGATCAAATATGAAGGAGACAGTTGGCAAGGTGAAATACCCATGATTAATAATTTCTTCAAGGTCAAGAGGTTTACTGCATTTTCTGCAATCAATGTGTCACCTACTATGCCTGACATATACAAGAACAACTATGGTACTCTGTCCCAACCTGTAGATCTTCATCATCGAAAGAAACACATGCCATATATGAGGACACACCTTCAGAGAATTGGGTTGTAGTTCATCCCTAAATTGTTCAAGATTTAATTATGCCTGAATTAATGCTTTTCTCAACTCTAGAGAGAGTTGAAGGGCATTAATGGCATAGAGATATGTTTTAAGTGGGCAATAACATCATACTTGATATGTAATCTTATTCAACCCCCACCCAAAGAGCCATATATACTACATCGTATTAAGAATTACATAAGAGTCCCTTGAGGAGTAAAAGATTAAGAAGGAAAATACAAAAGAGCCCTTAGAGGGGCTGAAATAGAAATACAAAGAATATGAAAAGAAACAAGACTATGTATAGCAGGGACTATAGTAATACAGTACATCAGGTTTCTTCACACTCCCCCTCAAACTGATGCCGGAACATAAGCACCAATTTGCCCACAAGAAACAAATGTCTAGATCTTGTCATGCGCTTCATAAATATCAACGATTTGCAAGTCTGAAGCTACATGAGGAAGAAAGATGGAGCTAGCAAGAAACAAGTCTCAAATGAAGCGACAGCCCACTTCAATATGTTTAGCCCTCTCGTGGAACCCTGGATTGGATGCAATCTTTACGGCACTAGTGTTATCAGCATAGAAAGGAATAGGAATGGGAATATGGACACCAAGATCAACAAGGAGAGACTAGAGCCAAACTATCTCACTGCAGACAAAAGACATAGCCCTAGGCTCTTGTAGATGACTTAGAAATTGTCTATCGTTTTTTGCATACGAGGGAGTCTCCCATAAAGATACACCACCCTGAGGTAGATCGTCTGGTGTCAGGGCAACCTACCCAATTTGTGTCAACATAGGCCCTCAAGAGGATGAAGTAAAGAATATCCCTGAGGTAAAGTACCATGAACATAACGAATAATCTGATGTACAACAGTTATGTGGGGTTGACGAGGAGCTGAAGAAAATTGGCTCACAACCTGAACCGCATGAAAGATGTCTGGACGGGTCATGGTGAGATAAATGAGAGAACCAACAAGTTGTCGATATTGAGTAGCATCAGGAAGCAAGTTACCCTCTGTCTTAGACAAATCAACATTGAGCTCCAAAGGTGTATCAACCTGTTTGGAGGCATATTTCTGCTGACAAACAAAGTAGCCTCGATTATGTTGAATCTCCAATCCCAAGAAATAAGGGAACCCAAGTCTATCATATGAAAGGAATTATGAATTTGAGTTCCTGAATTCCATCATCATCATTTCCAAACAATAACATATCATTGACATATAGAAGAATTGTGATTCCTTGAGATCTTTGACAAATAAAGAGAAAGTGATCTGAAGTACTCTATTTATATCCTACACCAACAGCAACATCCCGAAATTTCTCAAACCATGCATGGGATTTGAGGCCATATAAGGACTTTTTCAACCAACAGACAAGGGAGGGATCACAACTGTATCCAAGTGGAGGTTTCATGTGCACCGTCTCCTTTAGTTCACCATAAAGAAAGGCATTCTTCACGTCTAGTTGATAAATAGACCATGAATGCATAGCAGAAAGAGCCAAGAGAACACGGAAAATAGTAATTTTGGCAACTACAGTGAATGTCTCTTCATAGCCAATATCATATTCCTGGGTATAACCCTAAACAACAAGATGAGCCTTGTACCGGTCTAATGAACCACCAAACTTCAACTTAACGGTGTAAATCCAACAACTCCCAATGACAGAAGCATTTGAAGGGGGAACCACTAGATCCCAAGTGTCATTCTCATGCAAGGCATGAATTTGCATCCATGGCTTCTCTCCAATGAGAACTGGTAATCACCTGCTTATACGAACAGGGAATATCTGTGGTAGATAACACAACAGACAAGGAACTATGGTTTGATAGAAAACCATAGAGATTAGAAGGTCTAGAAATACGAGAAGAACGATGAGGTACAATAGGAATGGAAACAAAATTTGAAGGAACATCACTTACAAAAGGATCAGAAGAGTGATTATCTGAACCGGTTGGAGGTGAGGTCGTAGGCATAGGATCTAGAGCACGTAGCTTTTTTGCAAGAGAAGACGAGAAAATCCTTCACACCAGCTAAAGATGAGACATCTTTTGAATCAAAATTCTACAAAACAGAGACAAATGGTGCAGATAACCTAGCAACAACAGCAAAAAAGGAAATATGCTCAAGAAAAACAACATTCCAAAAAACACGAATCCAATAGGCGGAAGGGTCATAGCAAAGAAATCCTTTGTGGTCTGGACTATAGCCTACAAAGATATACATGATAGATTGTGTAGATAACTTGGAACATTCACAGGATGGAAGATGAACAAAGCAAAGGCACCCAAAAACATAGAGAGTAGACAAGTTTGGAGTACAACCAAACAATTTCTGGAAGTGAGACATATTAGCTAGGACAGAGGAACATAATTAATTAAGAAAACAATCGTACTAGCACCCTTTACCCAAAAAGAAGGGGCAGGGGATTCTTTAAGTAAAGTTCTCACAACATTGAGCACATGTCCATTCTTACACTCAGCCACTCCATTTTGTTAACGTGTATCTAGGCAACTCCGTTGAATTTGTATACCATGATTCTTCATATAAGACAAAAAGTCTCCATCGATGTATTCTCCCCTTGAGTCTAATTTATGTCGAAATGTAGGATAGACCTCTAATTTATAGGGACTAGTGATCTCTTGAGGGAAAAAGGTGGGTCTGGATGGTGTCCCTTCCAAAGCATTGAGAGGATGATGGCACACCACCTTAATTTTAATAGAAGAAACCATTTGTACCTGTGGGATGAGGGAAAGCTTGAAGAGGTATTTCAGAAAGCGAGTCATTATCAATAAGGAAAGTTGAGTCATTATCCAAGGATGTGGGAGCTACTTTTAGAAGGATGGAAAATGTAATGGAAGATTCTTTGTCCAAGCAAGGGGTCGCAGGGAACAAGTGTTTTGGGCTGAACTGTGTGTAAGAGGGTGTATTCATATATCACAGTGGTAGTATCATAGGCTAACCATGGCCATTCACCAAGGAGCAACCATGGTCACTTCCTCATAAACTAACCGTGGTCCCTCACTATAGAATATAGGTGAAGGCTGAACTGTGCGACATTTGGTAAGATCGTAGAGGGAGTGGTAGTTGTAGTCTGTACAGGCTAACAAATGGTCCCCGCTCTACGACCTGGCGCATGTCCCTATTGAATCAACTTGGGCATTTGAGCGAGTAACTGCCTTTGGAAAATTTTGGAATCCTTTAGTACATGCATGTATAAGCTTTCCTCTTCTATAAATAGGTACTAGGTGCACTCTACGACCCGAAGCATGTCCCTATTGAACTAGGTACTATATATATTATACCATAGTTTTCAAGGCATCTAGGTGATTTTGGGCGACACTGGGGCACCTAGTCGCCTAGTTGCCTAGGCGATAAAAAATTTATAATATAAAAATCTAACTTTTGGCTAGTTCCCTAGTTTTATATACCATTCAGCATGTATGCTAATTGAAAAAATAGCAATTATTAAGAACATTAAATTTCCTCTAAAAATGTGGCAAATTATCACGT